AGAAGGAGAAGGAGAAGGAGAAGGAGAAGGAGAAGGAGAAGGAGAAGGAGAAGGAGAAGGAGAAGGAGAAGGAGAAGGAGAAGGAGAAGGAGAAGAAGGAAAAAAGGTGTCCATGTAGAAAAAGCTGTTCCTAAGGGAAAACATAATTATAAAACATTGAAGGAGTTTTGCCACAAATATGCAAGTTCTTACTTCTTATACTGTATGTATTTATTACACAGAGTAACTTAGTAACACTAGGATTTATAGAAAATACTTCACAATTCAATTTAGAATTCATTCTGGATGTTTCAAATTCTGGATGTCTCTGGTGAGATAAGCCTTTTTAAAAGCCTTACTGTATGTGTGTGACTGCTCAGGATTTCCTGAAAATCCAGCTGCAAAACTGCAACACTCTCTGCTCTTCAAGAAACACCACCAAGAGCACTGCATCTGTATTACTTAAAATGTTACTTCTCCAACAGAACAGAAGCTGAGTAAAATACATTTATCAAAATTGGTAGCTATTTGGTTTCAAAAAACCCTACCAATTGATGTTGCTGTGATGCATTGATTTTCTCCTCAGTTTTTAATGAGGGCATGTAGAGCAGTAGAGCTTGGGTTTATTGCTGTAAAAGACAGAAAAATATTCTAATTGGGTAAAAATATAGACTTATACACTGTCAAAATATGATTTCCACTTAGCTCCACTGTTCACTTACATAACCTCAGCAAATTAAGACAAACTTCATACCTCTGCAGTGGAGGAATCTTTGAAGCAACAACTGTATTTAAAAAAATAAAGAAACCATAAATGGATAAATAAAAGAATTAAAGTAGATAATAAGGTACCTGCTCTGCAATTAGCACTGATTAGCAGGGGTCTTAATGAATGTCTATGGAGGTCCTAAGTTAAAAATATTTTTTTAGAAATGTTTTAATTATTAACCATTATTAATTGCAATGCATTTTGAAAAGGCTTTAATAAATTAAGAAATAATGCCTCTTGTTATACAGACCTCAGATTTTCCAGAGGAACTTTGGATAAGTCCATAATGAACATAAATTCAGGGACAATGGTGTATGTAAAGGTCAAACTCCCACTGTGTTTAGTGCCCAAGCCACACCAAATTCCTAACGGAGGCACTTCAGCCTCCCATATCTTTTCTGAACACACCAAGCTTTAGTAGTTGAGCAGGTCCCACCTATTAAAAACATCTGGCAGGTGAATATTTTAAACCTCTAAGTGAAGGCTTTCAACCATACAAGTATTTTGTCATTCTGGTTTACCCTTTCTATTTCTCTTATTTGTCATTTTTATCTTAGTTTCCCTTCCAGCCATCTCCCCCACTCATTTATTCACTGAATGACTCATCTTCCATCATTCATATTCCTTTTCAACCTTCATTTCAAAACCTCTTTCACCTCAGGAATACTATAACTATACTATAACTGGGATAGAACAACATTTACATTTGAGGTCTTGTAGAAATCAAAACAACCCGAAATTATGATGAACTTACACCTACAGAAGAAAAAAGTTCTGTAGGGCCAGAGAGCGGTGGAATAGTCACCATTCTTAGCCTTATTTGTCTTAAAAACAAACACAAGTTTTCTGCATCTATGTTCTTTCTAGTAGATCCTTTTTTTAAAAAGTCAAAAATAAAAAAAAAAGAGAAAAAAAATCAGTATTTACATAGAAGTGAGACATTTGGTAGCTAAATACTGGGAAATAAAAGACAAATAGAAAAGCTCAAATCCAGTCCCAAGGGTAACTTGTAGAGAAGATGTTCCAGGAATTGAGAAACTTCAGACATTTCTTGGAGAAATTTAATTTAATAAACCCTGTAAATTGCAAAAGACACTAAGCAGAATATTTTGAAGGCCCATAGAGAACCTTCCAATAATTCATAAAAGAAATAATATGCATTAACCAAGGTGAAGATTTAAAGAGCTGCATATAAGAGAAGCACCTCAATGCCTGGAAGTGAGTATAACATTCACTATAAAATTAGTTAAAGATCTGTCTCTTTGGTACCTTATTGTAGCACTGAGATCTTGCTCCTTAAGAGTAAGACACCACAGAAGATGCTACACCTCTGTGAGACTCCTGACATTGATATGACAGGAAGAAACTAATCAAAGCCAAAGACAATTTGCTGACAGGATTCACAAAGAGCATTTTAGCAATATCCTTCTGAAATCCAGAAGGAAAAAAGAAAAGGGAACAAGAAAAGAAAAAAAATGAAAGACTGTTTTAATGAAAGATAAAGTTCAATATTAGCAGGTGAGTTAGATAAAATTAATAGCATGAGACTGAATTTCCTTTTAATTTTTTTTTTAATTCTGCTTTTGCTAATGATAAACTCAGCACTGCTACCTTTCTTCAATTACTAAAGTTTGTTTATGGGGCACTTACAGTGGCAAAAAAAAAAATCTCTGAAAAAGAGAAATATAGGGGAAAGATATGGAGACAGAAAACACCCAGGGAGAAATTTAGAAGGGTTAGATTATGGTAATAATTCATTAAAAGTCTAATATATGTCCCCCTTGTACTATGAAGGGCAATTTAGATTTACACAAATATTAACAAAGTACTTTGTTTGTATGAGTGCACTTGTGTATACAATGCAATAGTAAATAAGTATCACAGTACCCCAGGATGGTTTGGGTTGAGAGGGACCCTAAAGCTCATCCAGTTCCCATCCCAACACCTTCCACCATCCCAAGTTGCTCCAAGGCTCATCCAGCCTGGCCTTGGGCCCTGCCAGGGATCCAGGGGCAGCCCCAGCTGCTCTGGGCACCTGTGCCAGGGCTGCCCACCCTGCCAGGGAACAATTCCTTCCCAATATCAAAATCCCTTCTCTCTCACTTTGAAGCCACGTATATGAAAACATACATATATATCTATGTGTCAAAGTGAAAAAATACCTACTGCTCAAATGCATAGAAAAGCAGAAGACATCACATTATAAGATTTCCCATAGCTTTAAGATGCATATTGATTTATTTGAGGTATACATACATGCAGAAAAAAGGAAATTCAGTCTCAAAGTTGTTCTTCTTTCTATCCTAAAATAAAAAAGGTTTATTTGCTTCTACATTTTACATACAAAATGTTCTTGCAGAAGTAAATACAGAGCTTTTGAGTTTATAGGGAATTTGCATTGCATATACAGTAATAAAATTTGCCATTTCCTAAGAACTGGATTTAATAACTACTAAAATTTCCTAATCCCTGTGTTTACAAGTACACCTTGTGCATGGATAGGAACAAGTGCTGGGACATTAATCTTGTTCTCACCCACAGACCTGAAGGCAAGGGTTTAACCAGCCATCAGACTTATTGTGGCTTGACTTCTCCCCTGATATTCTTCTTTTTACTGGGATAAAGAGAAGGGGAAAAAAAAGTACCAAGATACCATTATAAAAATGTCTGTGAAGAATAAAGGAAGGGAGGCAACCTCTCAGAAATCTCTCTTTGTACTTTATACTTACAACTGAAGATGGTACGTAAATAAATCCTACTGTGGCTCACTCAAATGAGGTAACACTGTGGAAAATGCAATTTTCACTCTAAAATCACCAGGTTTTATTCATATAACTGAGAAATAAAACACAGTGAATTATTTAGTGATAGTTTCAAAATCTATCAGCTAAGATTGAAAGATTATCCATTTGACAAAACTTCACCATCCAAAAAAGATGTCCAAAGACAAATCATCTCCTCATAAGGGTAAGCAGTAAAATATAAAACACAACTACAGACGTTTCCATGAAAATGCACACAAATCCTTACATTTTCTCTGTAGACATGGCAGGTTTCAGTTTCTGAGGGAAAATATCTGACAGATGTTCTGGAGGGTTTCAGGAGAAGACCAAGCTGCTGAATGAGAGCCAGTGAACGCCAGAAAGACACAGATTGATATTTTCTTTCTCACCTAAAAAGAAGTACAGATTTTAAAAGGATATGATGCTTACTACTCAAAATTTAAATTATCCCCTGCTTTTCCACATCCCAAACTCACTGCAGAATGAAATGCACTTATCAGCCAAATACATATTCAATAGATACCCATTAGGAATATCGGGCAAAACTGGCAGAAACACTCTTTTGAGCTGATCTTGATCACATTTCTTCTGTCAACATGTTTAAGTTATTTGCTGTCCCTGAACATATTCACTTAGTTCCAGAGATTAAGAAATTCTCAGTAAACAATTTTGCCCCTGGAGTGGATTAGCAGGACATATTTGCTATCTGTCATCAAAGCCATTTGATATCATTCTCTCATTAGGAGCCATGGCAACAGTGAAGAGTGAAAAATGATGCTTTTGAGGGAAGGCTCAGGCCTCAAAAGAGATGAGGTGCTCCCAGCACAGAAGCTGCTCTCCCAGTGCTTCCCATACCCAAGGAAGTACAATTCCCTCCGAAATTTGCCATGAAGCTTCAGGTCTTTCAAGGCTTTCCCACCTAAAAAGGGATTGCTTGCCTTATTGATAGACTTGGTTTCCTACAAATCTATAAATTACTCACCTGTGGCCCACTTGCAAAGACAGAGGTCATTCCAAAGGCAGGGATTTTGGTGAGTGTTGCCCACTGCAGACTATTGGTTATCCAAAAGCATTTCACAGATGATTAAAAAAAAGCCAAAGTATATAGAAAATTTTATTTAATGTATTAGTTGTTTTGAAAGCCCATTAAGCAGCAATAAGAGGCATCACTCACTGAGGAATAATGCTGTTGGGAAAGCCTGTATAGAAGAAGATTAATAATGGAAAAAAGAAAGAAAAAAAAAAAAAAAAACCACTTTTCAGCATCTCTCCTATGGATTTCTCTACTCACTTTGTCCAAACCAAAACATGGGAGGTGCTACAACTAAAGTTGGATATATCTGTTACTAAACATGCAAGTCTGGTACTACCAGCATTTGATCCCAGTATGACTTCTTCAGGAAAAGGGAAAATAATCTCATCCTGGTCCAAACTTGGAGAAAATTGAACTCAATCCCCATGCAAGAGCAGCTAAGCAGGTCAGAACCAAAGCAAGGAAAACCCATTTGCATCCCTTCTCTCTACCTGGCTCAGACTTCCTCAGGATCAAGTGCAATAGAAAACACTCACCAAACACTTCACAATCCATGAAACATTATTGGGTTCTATTTGGTCATCATCATCTTACAGCAGCTTAGACAGAGCTCAAACATGGTTCTAGCAAGAGAGGGGATGAAAAATAAGCCCTAAACACACAATTACCCTTTGCAGGAACTACAAAAAATCCAGGCAAAAATTTGACTGTCTCAAAGCATCTGGGGGAAAAAAAATGTTTCTCTGACAATGAAGCCAAGGTGCCACTTTTTCCTTTAAGTATTTTGTGTTCCCTTGCTCAAGGACAGGAGTGTTCATTTTGAATAAAGAACTGGAGAGTTTTATTTTCTCAGTCCCAAGTTATTAGCTGCCACCATGGTGATGAAGCTGTTGTGACTACTGTGGCCTCTCTTACTAAACAGTGAAGTAAAATCCTATTTCAGTAACACAAAAACTGTATTTAAAGGAATGGTTCTTTATCATGGGTATATTTATCAGAGCAGAGACTAAAAGTGCTATTCACTTTCAGCTTTAAGCATCAACTCATTCATTTTCGCTTTTTCTTCTAAAAACAAAAAGAAGAGCATAGGTGAAAGGAAAACTCATCAAAAGTGACCTGAATGTGAAGTTTCTGATTATATATATCCATTTTTATTGCTTATCCTACTCTTTAATAACCATGGAACACATGCACTGTCCATCACAAAAAATAAACAAATTCACACGTACAGCAAACACTAAAGTTCCTTTATGACAGATTAAGTGCTATACTTCTTTCAAAACGTGGCTTATTAAAGCACTAATTATCTGATTTTGTCATTCAAAAGATATAGTGAAAATTAGTCCAGGGTACTCAAATTATTGGACCTCAGGTCTTCAGGAGGGTATTTTAGGTTTCAGTGACAAAAAAATATCACATGCATGCATTTTTTAACTGTGTCTTTCCAATTCATTTTTTCTGCATGGACAGGCATCTGTTCTGTCAAAAAACAAGGGGAATTAAAAACATACCACCCACCCTCCTTGCAAGAAAAATGCAGAAAGGCAAGGAAACTTCCCTTCATAAGTTTCAGAGCTTCAGATTAAAAATCAACACACAACAGCTACGGGGAAAATTTCTGTTTCCACCTTCCATAACTCTGATCTCTCCTGCCATCACTAGGCCAACCTACAAGAGGAACAGCACTCAGCCCATTAACTCACTTTCAATTGAGGTTATTTCACTTACCCAAGGAAGAAAATAAAACCACACAAGGTAAAATTAAAAGTCACAGACCATTCACTGTCAAAACCCATGCACTTAACAACCTCAGTTCATTATGAGGCCAGCTAATTAGAAATGCTTCATGGAGACATCAATAGTTTTAGCCTGATCTCTGCAGATTTTTTGTTGTTGTCTTGTTGGTTGTTTTTCAGTTTGGCTAGATGCTTGAAAATATAATCAACAGGCTAAACAGAATTTCAGCTAAGATATATGCTTTAATTATAGGAACTTCAAACAAGTTGCCAACTTGGCTTATCTGACAAAACCCTTTTCCAAATTGATTTAGAATATTCTGCCATCACCTCGTTAGTAGTACAGTTAAAATGCATTACTTGGGTCAAAAGATGCACATGTATTCAAAGACTTCCACAGAAACCCAAAGAAAAACCATTTCAGTTAATGTAATTAATATCTCAAGAGTTCTAGCAAATTGCCTGATACACAAAGGTGGTAAGTAGCAAAATGTTGGCAAGAGAATAATCCTGGGAAAAAGTGTTTTTCTTTGCTCTTACTCATTCTCTTTATTTTTCCTAACAATAGGTAAGCTTCTAATCTTAGGTATTCTTCTAGGGAGAAAGAAACCCTTTCCTTCCATATTTCATTCTTTCTGGTTATGAGTTTGGGAATTGCTTCATGATTCTGAATGTTTGCAGTTTCAAGTGTCTACATTGAAAGATATTAATGGAACTAGATAAGACAATTATATTTGAGTATTCAAGAAATAAAGGCACAAAAATCATCAATTTTCATACTGTGTGCCTATAATTACTTCAGTTGATTGACTTACAGTTTGAAATTTTGATAAAAATTCTAAAAAAGTAAAAGGAGAAGGCTATAACTGATACTGAGCAAAACAACAAAAAATCAGCAGGCCTTTAAAGTTATTTCAGACTTTGCAGTCAATCTCAGGAACACTGATGCATCCGTGGTTCAAACCTTGATATTTCCTATGAGATAATATAGAGAAGTACAATTTTCTGGAGTGTAATTGCATAAAGTATTTCTAAAAGAGTAATAGATGAATTTTGGGGTATCTATCAAAGGAAATTTAGTGAAAAATAAAATGCATTTGGTTGAAAATGAGGAGATTCTGTCACATTAGGCACCACTGCCCTCTTCAGTCAGGCAGACATCAATTTCATACACTTGTTCAGAGGACTTTGCCTGATAAATCCCCACCAAAATACCAATTATGAACTTTATTTTTACTTTAGGGAACACTTCTCTCCTAATAACAGGATATGATGCAGCATTTCATTAACCTAATGAAAATAGATCTTTTGTTGTAATGTTTGATTTGGCACATGGCTTAGATTCATGTGCACTATGAAGGCAATGTGCATTTCTCCTTTATATATATATATATATATATGTATATATGTATGTATATATGCATATATGAATTAGAAAAATATGTTCTTTTTTTGAGAGAAATATGCATCACAAAGAAAACAAGTAATTAATGGTTTTAATTCACTTCATACCTGACAGGACTACTAAGCAATCACGTACCTTCAAATCAGGACTTCAATCAACTTGCAACAACTGCTAAATTAACATAAAATCTCACCTCTATATTTTAAAAATAAAAAAATAAAACAACACCTCAGTACATCTTTCACAATACTCTCTGACAAGGATGTGATAATGCATAACTAACACTGAAAATTTTTCCTTAAGGTTAAAATATACACTTTGCAAGCAAAACATCTGAGATCTGAGAGTTTTCAGGTACACTGGGATCAAAAGGTAGCACTGAAACCCCAAAAAATCCAAAGAGAGATCTGGATGTCAAGAGATTCTTAGTTCAATACTTTTTTAATCATAACACTTAAGAATTGAATCTTAAATTAAGAGAGAGAATCTTTCAACACATGGCAGCATGAGAACACTAGGCAAAACATTCCTTTTAACCAATGGAAAGAAAAGTAGTTTTACTTCTCTGAGCTTTAATTTATTTTCCTTTTTCTTGTTAGTAAAATGGGAAAAGCTGTAATTTGTTTTTCATGTCTCCACTTTCAAACACAGTGAAAATTTACAAAATCGTAGAGTATCCTGAGTTGAATGGGAGTCACAAGAATCACTGAAGTCCCACTCCAGCCATTCAGATATTATCTAAAAGCATGTCATATTAAGTAAGACCCTGAGCAACCTTGAAAGAAATCATTAGAGAGAAAAAAAATTGCACAGCAGTTTATCTCCAGACTTTAGAAAGTATGTCACATCTAGAATCAAAAATTAGCTGTCCAGTAGCCTGCTGAGGCAGTTTAAGTGCCAGCTTTTTATTTAGTCTCCATCACAGCTGCATCTGTATTTAATAGATTTTAAATCTGTATCACTCTAGCTCATTTATCTCCCTTTCTCCCTATCTACTTCCCAGTAACTTATTCCATAGTTCCAACTCCTCACTCACTGCTGTCTCTACCTTCTCTCCCACCATTTTTAGGTGTAAAAAATGGGTAGGGCAAGGAAAAAGACCAAAGAGAATGTGATTCCAAGAGAGCCAACACAGCATCAACACAAGATGGGAAAAAGGAAATGTTATTCTTTAATGGTTCAACAGAATACCCATTTGTGATTCCTATGGCAGAAGAAAGTTGACAGCATGAGAAAGTAAAATACACCTAACATGGATCTTTTTAAACTGTGCATTTGTACTCCCCTGTACACACCTATCTACACCTTTGAGCAAGCTTTCTATCTATTTTGGGTACTTGTACAAACTTGTAATGTACTTTTTCATTATACAAATAGCTTCGTGAAAAAGAAAAACAAGAACACCTAAACCTACAATGAAAATTTCTTAAAAATAAAAGCAGTAACACCTACAAACTTTTGACTTTGTGGTCCATCATGCTATACCCAGCAAAATAGTCAATAATATACCATAGGAAAAATACCCCGGAAAAAATACTCAATAAACACACCTACAGGAAAAGTTTTCAAACAACTTTACAACCCTGAAACCACGTAAAAGTCTGAAGCTTCAACATTTTGTAATCAATTTTTTTGAGAGACAGAACATGAGAAAAGCTTTTTTTTTTTTTTTGACATTATTCCATCTGTAATATAATTTTAGAAACCAGCAATAAAGTCAGAATTGAGAATCTGAGAGAAAACAGTGAACTGTGCTCTTAATCACCAGGTTTTACCTGGATCAATAGAGTATATCTAATTGGAATTTCAAACACTATCTGTTTTCCTTCTCCACTAAAACTAAGTGTATAGAAGATATTGCTCATATTTACTTGGGAATGCACAGAGTTGCATTAGACCAAAGGAAACCACTGAGAGGGCCAGACCAATGGATAATCACCATCATCATCATCACCATCATCATCATCCTGGATAATAATTCGTTCCTAAAGTCAGTCTTCCTAAAACCAGCTGGAAAAGGAAGACAAAGACCGAATAAAAGTTTTCACTCTTTGCAAATTGACTTTAGATGTCAACATTTCAGCACTGATAAACAGAATTATAGAATTCTTGTGGTTTCAATAAGTCTGTTTGATTTTGGCTTCAGACCAAATTTTCAGAGGTCAAGAGTTCAATTGATTCAAGGAGATGACTAGACAATTTTTATAGATAGAAACATGGAATCCCAGAATGGTTTGGGTTGGAAGGAACCTTAAAGCTCAGCCAGTGCCACCCCTGCCACAGGAGGGACACCTTATGATTCTTATCCAGGCAATGTTTGAAATTATCTGGAAAAAAGAATTGGATGCTTTTCTGAAAACCTATTTTCATCCTTTATCTCTAAATATCCTTTTGGCCTATCTTCATCATTCAGTTTTACACATTTCTAT